GAAACAACAAGGCAAAGGTAATCTTATTTCATTCAGAGAAACGATTCAAAATTTAAAACTGAAAATTTACAAGAATTCTTGAGATCAAAAAAATCATTCAAGAAAAAAAATCGGATGTGAAACATGTATTTTTTCACTAAATTATTTACATATTATGACAAGCTAGCCGGAAACAAAGAAGAAAGTAGTAGAAAAAATTGATGAAAGTACTAGAAATACAAAAAATTAGGTAAAACAAAAACCAAAATCCCATCTTTTTTTCGAATGAAGTTCATTTTATGGTAGATAGCACAATAATGCATCGAGAAATTTTGTGAATAAATCGAGATACGCAGTGTCAAGGTGTTAATACATTTCGAGATCAAAAGTAAAAAGATGCTCATCTGGCATGAATCACATGTGAAACTTCAACTGAAAAAAAATATTTGAAATATTGTTTATTTTATTGTTCTAGGAAATGTATTGCAGAGTTGTTTCAATTTTTGCACTAGAATGTTTCAAATTTTGCGCTAGTTTTTTCAAATGTTAATGCATTATTTGTATAAACTAGCGCAATATTTAGTTTACAAATATTATTTCAAATAGTAATACAATAGATTTTGCAAAAAGGAAACTGAAATATACTGAATTTTTTGTGTAGTAGAAAAACAATAGCTAAAAAGGCTTTTTTTAGGCAATTTTGAACAATTTTGACCAAGAAATAGCGTTTTTTCGGCGCGTGCTCCCCCTCAAAATTAGTATATATTGGCGCCGAGGCATCTTCAGAAAAAGTTTAGGCTCCTAAAATAGTAAAAAGGGGGTACCATTTGGGTCGGCATTTCCATGATATCGTAGACAAGCCATAGAGAATTGCAAACAAGCTCAGTTTTAAATTCAGTAATCTTGCGAACTTGTTTTCGCAGTTAGTTCTTTTAACCTTGTCCCCGCCCCTCTAGCATTACAAATTCTCCTTTTTTTCGTTTTCTGACATCATATAAATGTGAAATTATTGCTTTCAATGAAATTAATACCCTGGGTCCTTCTTCTAATACAGCATGAGCACTCAACGATGCCGCGTATGAACTAACACAATCAATTAGTTTTTTAATCAACGAAAGCATAAAAACATTTTTTTCCACATCAGCTTAAACTGGAGAATAGATCGCGGGATTGCTAGTTGAAATTATTTGAAAAAAACTAGCGCAAAATTTGAAACATTCTAGTGCAAAAATTGAAACAACTATGCAATACATTTCCTAGAACAATAAAATAAACAATATTTCAAATATTTTATTGTTCTATGAGAATTTACATATAAATTGAAACGTCAGGTTATAAAAATGAGGTATGACTCCGACTTAAGTTCAGTCAACTCGCCAGACTTTTTGGTTCAAGTTTTCGAAATAAAAAAACTCCGAGTGAGGTATCAGTCTACCTTTTGCAGTAAATATTTCTCACAAATAACTCGTAAGTTTCCGCTATATGTGAAAACTTCTGACTTTCGGACTAGGCTACGTCGATTGCTAGATTGTTTAAAAATGCTTTGTAGACTTCGAAAAGTCAATCATACCTAACAATCGAGTCACCAGAAAAATGTATGCCCAAAAAAAACTCCTTCATGCGATGCTCATGAGATGCTTTTGAAATCAATTAACCATAACCCTCCAATTTTTGAAACAACATGGACCTAAAAATTTTCTTAAGTAGTAGTATTAGGGACTGCACTGCGATGGTGAGGTAACTGCTTGCTATCCAGTAGTTTTACATTAAATTAATTAATTGATAACAAGCCACTCTTGCGAATATCTTTGTTAACAGAATGTGAATTTGGTATAGGACGCCAAGTTTCCAGAATATCCGTTTTGAGATAGTTAATTATTAATAATTGAGGTTTCTGCATTTCGGAGAGGATCTTTTATAGGCTATCAGTCCTGTCTGGGCATAGTCCGTTTCTATTGCTTCCCGTTTCTATTGCATAGTACGTTATTTTGATGAGCGAAGCTCTTTTGATTGCGTGTGGATCATTTTGGTAGTTTTATTTTGGTATTGGACATTTTAAGAGTTGAAATCACAATTAATGACTTTCAGGTATGTCAGCAGAAAAACTTTCTTACCAAGAAATTTTAATATCCCTGCACCAGAAATTAGCAATTTGTCTGGAACTTTCTGTAGATATAAAAAAGTTGGGGAGAGAAGAAGCATTGAAAGCGGCGTTGCTGATAAATTTCAAGCACTCTTGACATAAAAGGAATAACGACAGATGCGAAACTGAGCTTCTCACACTTGCGATTTATAACAAAATGCCAAAAATCAAGACGAAAAAAAAAACCTTGAATGAATTCTGTTGAAGAAATCGTTAACCAAAAAACCGGAGAAATTTTTTCGCAACTGTTAGAAAACAGTTACCTACAATATAAGAAAAATTCCGACTACAAGTACTTCGTTCATGTTTTTTTTCATAACCAATAGATTGAAATGATTGAAAAAATAGGTACAAAAACGAGATCCAAAAACAACTTTGCTACAAAAAAGGTACTCAAAAACTTTGCTTAAAATCTTGTAACAGGACAACTAGCATATCCTTCAGCAAAAACTAGGGATAAGAAAAAGCCCTGTCCTTTTTTTGCTATAAAGTAAAATCTAAATGGAAGAGAAAATTGAAAAATAAAATTTCAAAAAAAATGCAGTTTAAAACTCTTTTTTTTTCCACAAATTTAGGTCAGAAAAAATTTTTTGAATCTCGTGCTGAATTTTTCGTTGACAGTGCAGTCGAAACAAAATTGCAAAAATTTGCAAATCTCGCCATGAATACAATACGCTATGCCATCAACTTGAATCGATTTCAATTGAAGCTGCTGAAGATGAAACACACTTAACCAAAGAAAACTTTAACTAGTTCCGCGCAATTGTAGAACAAAAACTAAACACAGAGGCTTAGCTGCGCTTTGCAAAGACTAGCGAGATCACGACAAAATTTATTTAAGAAAGTTAATAGGATGCTCTATAAAATGCTTTATGGAGTGCAATAAGAAAAAGAAGAAATAAGCCCCGCATTAGTGAATGCTACTGATAATGCTAGTAAAAGTTTCATATAAGTCAAAACTCTCCATGAAAATTTTATTTGCGAAATAGGTTAGAAAAAGAAGGTTCGTACTAATACACTTACGCTCGAAAGTGTAATCAGAAAACTCGAAGAAAAATTTCCAGAAAGTTTTAAAAAAATTCTCTACATCAAGTTTTGTCGGGTATAAAAACCAGAAAACCATAAACTACATTTGAACACTTGACAAAGAAGAATAGTACCTAAAAAGTTACAGACTTAAGCAACCGACAATTGAGCCCAAAAAATGAATTAAAAGCGTTAAAACCGACGAAACAATATATTTATAATCAACTTTTTTTCAGCTTTCGACTTAGTAACCTTTCAGTAGCTCTAGAACAGCTGTCAAGCTAGATCTGTAAAACGTGCAACCCTCTCAAAATAGAGATCGTAAAATTAGAGATTCGGTACAAAGTTCTGTACGGTAAAAAGTCTAGTAGCCGATTGCAATAGCCAAAAAACAGTTTTTTTTAAAACATTTTTCAGGCCCAAACGAAACTTCACCTCTAATTTTCAATATTATTTGGTCTATTTCAGTTATCAAGAATTTTCCTGATTGATTTGCCCAAGCTGGCATCTCAAAAAAAGCAGGCAAAAACCCGAAAGCTTTCAAGCCAACTAGTTTGTTCAAATGTTTTTTATTTTCTTGGAATCTGCTTGGAATTGATAGGCAAAAAAACGGATAAAATAAGATGAAAGTATTGTCCAACTTTTGCTGCAGTAGATGAGACTTCGAGACGTCATGGTGAGAAATTGAGGAACTTAATTAATTCAGGAGTTACAGATGCGATTCAAAAAGTTAAATCATGTGAAGAAAATTTCAAACATGACTATCAAAAACGGCAATATTAAAAAAATTGACAGCTTGAAAAGTACCAATGAATGCAAGGATGCGGAATACCGACAGCTTTTCGAAAAAAACCCATTTTTACGGAAACTTAAATAAAGGATATCCCCGAAGCTCTTCAAGTTTCAAGAACTATTTATTTTAAACATTTTGACAAAACGTAAATCCAGAAAACTGGATCAATAGGTATTTTTATTATTCAATAAATTTAAAATTAAATCCACTTTCGAAATTAGAAAACATGCACATTGTTCGTGATCTTTGCCCTTATGCTGTTCGAGACTAGGACTTTTCTTTCGTTTTGACAAAAAAACGAACTGAGCTTTAAAAGAAAACAAAAGCCAAAAATCAAAATTGAACGTTAACAATCTTCAAATCGTCGAAAACGAATGACACGCTAAAAATAATAATTCAGAAAAAACGTATTTTTTTGATGAAATTTTTTTGATTTAGAAAAAACGTTACTGCCAAGGAAGCGTTATATCAAGCTTCTAAAACTAGAACTTCAGGAGGAAAATCTACTTCTTATAATCTAAATCACCCGAAGATAAAACTCTTCCCCATTTTCAATGTTTGGAACAATACAAAGAAAAACTCATTCAGTGAAAATTAAGCTGATAAACGATTGCCCAACTATTGAAAGTTATCAAGCAGAAAATTCCGAACTTCCAAAAACCCTCAGGGAGGACTCGAGCTACCGACGTTCGCCTTAGCCGATAAACGTAGCAGCTAGAGATTGATAAGTTAGACTTAGTTGACGAATTCTGTGATCTATGTTCTTCGCAGGGGAAAAAAGTCATACACCCTGATTTTTTAGACGATTCAGCTCACTTGTAAAAATCACAGATCCTTGTTTTTTTCTGACACACCTATGCTTAATTTCTGAGCGCTAGAGGACTAGCATATCAAACGTCATCATGCCGAACCAGTGCTGTCTCCTTGATCGAAACTTAGCCAGCTCTAAATTTTCTAGTAATCATGTTTATTCGTCATCACAGTTTTAGGTTAACTTACAGCTACTTGAAATTTCCCAACTTCAAGCAAGCTATAGAAACTGTCTTTTGTATAATTCGATAAATGACTGGAAGGAATTCTTATTTTCACTCAGTTTTAAAGACATTTGAAGACATTTGATCAGTTTTATGTTTTAGTCTTTAGTTTCGTATTTTATTGCACCATCTGCAAAATTCCAAATATCATCTGCGTAAAAATCTTCAATTTCTTCTTTGCTGTCAGAGCTGAAACTAGTCGGAAACGGAAGTGACGTCACGCCCGTTTTAGCAAACAATTTTCCATACTTCGAGTCTCTCAGAGAGAGGAAATTTCCATCTAATCCCGGCAACAAACCCTGCACAAACAAAACATTATATTTCGTGTTGATTCTTAAAATCTTAGTGGAAGGTTTGAAAATAAGTTTATCGCCCATTTGACCCGCCATTCTGCGTCCCGGTAGCACCCTAGCTTGTCCTGTCGATGCTAAAGCACCATGAGCACGATGTGATTTGGTTGTTCCGTGAGTTGCCGGCATTCCTCTGAAGTTCCATCGCTTCATCGGCCCTTGGAACCCTCGGTCAAGTGAACGTCCCCAAATATTTATTAACTGACCAGGTACAAAATGATCTGCTTTTATAACCGTGCCAGGTTGCAAAACCGAATTTTCTGTGCATATAAAACCTGTCAGTTTTTCTTTACATGTGATTCCATGTTTTCTGAAAACTCGCATCTGATTTTCGGACAACCATTCGGGTGAAATATTTCGGCATCCAACAGTAACTGTGAAATAATTCTGATCGGAGGCCAACTTTTTTCGATGGTAGAAGAAGACTGATTTCAAATCTGTAGGCGTTACATCTACAACTTCAGTGTCAAGCAGTTGTACTAATGTAGCTAGAGTTCGACTGCCGTCTTTGTAAAACATCGGGTAGCTTCCCAATTTTATACCGACAGCTCCGCAACGGATTTCATTCCAAGAATGCTCTTTTCGCTCAGTTTGCAATGATTCACGCAGGACTTTTGAGTTATTCTGCGTAAACAATTCATACTCTTTACGGAGAAAGTCTATATTTGACTCATTTATATCGGTCAACCGGCTATCAAATGCAGATTTTCCAGTTTTGAGAAAGTTATGGTTAAACTGCTGATGTTGTCTTGACCTATATGCAACTTGAGTTATAGAGGTCGATTTGACTGCTAGAGGCCATCTCAATCCCAGCTCCAAAACTGCAATGCACTTATTCATGCAGCTCTGAAAAAATCTAAAAAATCAATTGCAATGTTTTCACAGAAGTGATTTCGATAGAGACCAGAAGAAAAGCAAAAAAAAAACAGCTTATTGGTACGACAGGAACAGATTTAGGCGGTAGGTGTTTTATGAATTTACCCTCGGGAACTCGACCCATTAAATACCCAAAATATACATATTTGGTACTTTTGTAATCTATCAAAATTCGTCAGATCAGCCCAAAACTTTACTAAGACTCCATTGGCGCCAATAAAAATTAACTTTGAGGAAAATGCGCCATTTTCTTTACTATTAATCGCCTGTGGGAGCGCTCTAGTTATCAAAAAGTCGACGGAAGTCCGCTCTTGTAAAGCATATTTAAAAAAAACTCAATTCAGAATTCAACATTTATACTACAGCTAATTCTCTTCCATAATCGGGGTTAGCTTTGAAATTTGATCAATGGCGACATACATGGCAAAGCTAACAATCTGTATCAATTTTTCACAGTTTACTAGAACATGGATCTGCATTGAAATCAAACCAGGCATAATCCTACATACTAAAGTGTTTATCAATAAATTATAAACAATGCGAATATACAAATTAAGGGAAACTCACAGGCCAACCCAAATATAAAACTTAGAATAAAATCTTCTAATGACTAGAAAACAAGTTGAGACTGAAACAAGTTCTCATTACATTCTCTAATAGACAATTACTGATGATTATGAAGACAAGCATGTTGAATTCTTCGAAGCATGTTCAGCCGAAGGAAAATCTCACCCTGAAGAGAAACTTAAATAGTGAGTTTTCGTCTCAGCCGATTCGTGAGGGCGACACCGTCTTTTCGGAATGATTCGGAGAATAGCGAATAGACACTCGGGGACAGGACGAAGTTCAAATTGTACAGCAGTTGCAGGTGCTTCACAAGCCACGTCACAGTTCTGCATAGCACCACGCAAACACCACTTGATTGAGGTTTTATTTAAGCTTATGGAATGATGAAAAATGCAGTCGATTTCTATACAGGGGTAAGCAACCTTGAAACTTTCAACCGTTCTTTGTTAGTTTGGCATCGTGTCATTTTGATTCATCTATTTAATTACATGAAACTTGCGCTCTGTGTAAGGAAGTTAACATAAACTTAAAGTTTTCCTTCATGTTATCAGTCACTGAGAACTTTGATACAGCCTAAATCTTGTGATTCTATTGGATATCAGTGGTGATCATATTTTGAAAGTGATGAGTGGTGCTTGCGGTGGGTTGGCGAGGAAGATGTTTGGGTGGATGTAGAATATGAAGTTGATCACACTGGAGGGCAGGAAACACAGGGCGTAGCAGAGAGTGATGATGGTCAGGATCTTGGCCGTCCTACTCTGCATGGCTTCATGAAGTCCCCTACGACAACAAAGCAGGCAACCATTTGTGGCAGAAAATTCAAGGGCACAAAAAACAAAAATACGCAGGTAAATATGGAACGAAGCCAACCATTTGAGGGCAAAAATTTCCAGTGACTAAATTTTAGGGATAAACCGAAAAATTTGAGGCCATCGCTTCTAGTCAACTAAGTAACCGCCATTTATGAATGGAACTCGTTAATTACGAAATACAGTGCTGATTTAAATTACCCGGCAAAAACAATTGAAACTTGAAATTTAAAACGCGTTTTTCTCAAATTGGGTGTTTTTAGACAAAAAAGACCAATCTTGATTGAATTTTCTTAGAAAAAACATGTCGCTATTTGTTCAGAAAAATTCGGGCCCAAAAATTTACCCCAAAAAACAATCATTTTTTTAGTCAATCAAAAATTAATCCAAATCTATTTGTTCATTTACTGACAAAATTATATCATTGCAAGCCTCTTATGTAGCCCAACAAAAGTTTAAAAAGGTGTAATCTCCAAAAGTGGGTGCAAAAAGTTTTTCGAAAACGTTTTTATTTACTAAGTTGATGGTTTATAAAGTAAAAATAACATTTTTTGGCTATCAAACGAATATAAACATGTTTATACAAAGCTGAAAAAACCAAACCCTGCCTATTTGTTGGGCTACATAAAAGCTTTGCGAAGATATAGTTTAGACAGTTAATGAATGTATATGTTTGGAGTAATTTTTGATCGAATAAAAAAAGCCAAAACAGTTTGAGACCGAACTTTAAACGGACGTACTTCTCGGAAGATTGTCGGTGACACTGAAATCTGGCGCGATTCGCTCTCGCCATTGACATTCTGGATGAATTAGGAGGGAGAGGAGGAAGAGCTCTTGAACGAGTATCCTTTTTCGGATTCTCGTCGGCCAAAGTGATCAAGTCGGAACTCAAACTGCCCACAGCCCGAACAACCTGATCAAATAAAGCTCACATTCGTCATAATAAAATATTCATTTCTAGTAATTTAGTCACAAAAAACTTTGGGTGGCCTTTAGTTCGATCGCCACCAACGCTTCAGATATATTTGCACTATATCTCATCACTAGCAGTACAAGTTATTAGTTGAAGTGCAATATTTTGTCTGCAAGTAAGAGCTAATGTAAATTGAAATTGCACATAGTGGGCAATTAGAAAATGACCTAGACTAGATTACCTCATGTGGCCGGGACGTGCCTGGTTGCTCAGTCTGATCCAATTCAATTAAACAATCAATTGCACTCGACTGTAAAGCTGAATTGCTCACTCCATCAGATGTCGGCTGGTGTTCATGTATTTGAGAAATACTAATACTCTGGGTCCGTGGTGCCCCGCTAGATCTTCGTTCTGCAAACTGGATTGACTCCACGGTTAGGAGACTCTGGCTGGTGCTCCCTTTTTTGAGATCGGCAGCCACTGTATACACTGATGTTGATGCAATTTGAGAATCTTTAGAATTATCTTTAATCGTCAGTGATCGCTGAGCGGCCTGAAAACGACAAAAATTCGTGCAAAGTGTAAAATAAAGTTTTCTTCTCTGCATTTAATTTTTGACTAATGAAGGATAGCTTATAAGTCTACATACTTCGCTTGTTCTTGACAGTTACAAACCAAATCGACAAAGAACTCACTTCCTGTTCAACATAAACAAAAGTAGATAACCGAAGAAGTAATATCTCAGATGTGCCTACTAATAGTTTTAACAGATACAAAATTACAGCAAATCGGATGCTCAAAGCATCTCTCACCTGGAACCGGTTGCGTCTGAATCTGGATGCTGTGGCTCGTACTTTGAGGAAGACCATGACATACAACAGACTGATGCAGAGGAGGACTATGGCAGCCGCCACAGAGTAGATCAAATGAATCTCCATTATACTCTCAGAAAGACCTGACAACAACACTCATAATATTAGAGGTTTCACAAAAATATTAGAAGCAAGAGAGCACAAATTTTCGGTTTGACAAAAACATCATTCAAAAGGCAAGATATCTTGAATAAATTTACATGCCCACACCTACAAAAACAATTCAACTTATTTAATGAACTGTAGAAAAAGAGAAAACAATATTATAAGGAATTCCACAAGTATAAATTAAAACATTACTTCATGCGTTATCTATCATGGGCAGCGCTGTAGGAGTTCTTCCTAGTCTTTGTTTAATCCAAAAACTTTTTATTTACTCAAAAAATTGGCATTTGGTACTTTGATAGACTTTTATAGTAGCACAAGAATTTTCATGACGCTTAAAGCCAATTAAAAAAAAACTTGTTATTGTTAAAGAAATTCCATAGAAGCACGCTAGCCCATATAACAAGACCATGAACTGTGTCAAAAAGAGTTTCTTTATTCACGATTTACATGCTGTCAACAACTGAGCTGAGAGAATCACTTGTAGATAAAATAGCATTTGCGATTTTAAGGCCACTACACCTATCATAAAGAACGACCTCACGTTTCTTGCTCGAGCAACTTGATAAACTTTTTATCAATTGTTGAGAAAATGATGCTTGAAATGCAAATGAGTTATGAGAAAAGAAAATCTCCAAGCTGGCTTTGAAGATGATACTCCACCGTTTCTTATATATCAAAACGCATTTAGATTGAAAACTATCGACAGTAATAACTCCAAAATAGGCAGCTAACAAGAAATTTGTTTAAAAAAAAACCTGGATGCTTGGTGGGATTAGAAAGCTAATTTCATCAATGTACGCCGTTTTAGGAATGGGACGAAAAACAGAATTTAAAAAAATTTATATTAGAGCAAAAAACACAGTTCAGTCAAGCAAACATCTATTTCTCCAAGAAAACCTAACTAGTTTGAAACACCAAACTGTGGTGAAGAGAAGACGATGAAAATTATTTGATAAATGGAAATACACCGCAAACTTAGCGTTCTGACCCAATAAATTGCGGTCTGCTATTTCTGAGCAGGGCAACTTACAGAATGGGATGACAGCAAGTAGAAGTGCGACGGCGACTACTACAGCACATAGCTGCTGAGCCCTGGACTCCGTGATGACACTGTGCGTGGGCCAGCAGATGGAGAAGTACCTGTCTACCGCTATGTTGAGGAGAGACAGGATGGAAGCACACTCCAGCACCATTGTCACCACCAACGTGTAGTCGCTAATAAACGAACCAAAAATCAAAGGAGCAATGATAGCCGGTTGCTGTGGAAGTAACACAGAATTTTTTGACCACATTTTAAAAAAACTAAAAAAACGGTTTTCTCCAAATAAGTGTCGTTTTTAGCGTAGTCTGACAAGATAACTATACAAACGCGTAGAAAGTTGATGAATTGGACATAATCGGCTATAATTGCCTTAAATGACAAGCAAAATGATTCAAAATATATCAACTTTAATGAAGCTGAAGCTTGAAATGCAGCTTCCAAAACCAGTTTTCTTTTTATTAAAATCAAGTTTAGTTTTCACATAACGAACGTTACTCGATCGCTCTACTGGCTCAAAAATAAGCTAAAATTTAAGCTGTGTAACTTAATTTACAACAAGACTCCTCGTATCAGGGCGAAGCCCTGAATGTTCCAACTGCCTTTTAAGGTTTATTGAGCAGCAGTAATACATAAAAAAATTAAATGAAAAAAAAAATGAAATTTTTTTTTCTAAAATTTGAAATATTTATGGAAATCATCCACCCACACGCCATATAAACTACAAAAAGATAGATTTCGTTCCTTGTAACAAATCAATTATGGCAAGTAAGCTTCGTTCAACCAATTTGGAGCGATTTCTAAGATTGCGCGTTAATTGTCCCAAATGGCAATCTTTAAACCCTCATAACTTTACGAAAAATGATCACAGGTGAAATATCTTTTCAAATTTAAGCTCAGGACAACAATACCTTTTGAATGATTTTAAAAAATTCCGTCAAAAATGGCTAGTTAAAAAGTCGAAATTTGTCTGAAAAAAAACCCCACCCCGAGCACAAATATTCCGTTACTTTCGTATCGAAAGTCGGAACAATAATGTTGCGCATAAGTCCTGGCAAGTTTAACTAATACACTTTCCGTTTACTGAACAACTTCTTCAGAATTTCTGGTTTATTGATCAAGTAATTTCCTTTTCAGTTTACTGCTCTGGTCTGCCCGTTTTCGGGTTGTTGATACATCGATTTACTGACCTACCACCAAACTTTCAAATAAAAGCAAGCCCAATTTTCTGTTCATTTAAATTTCTGATAAAAGGTAACAGGCCGCGTAAAACTAAAAAGACTTTTCAATCAAGCAATCTATTTAAATTTCAATCATTACTTCTGCTCAATGAACAAGTAGATCGGCAAAAACAAGTAGACCGGCTTTTAGAGGTATACCGATATTCGTCTCATGTCACATAAGCTATTTTTGATTGCAACACTAACGGCGGTGAGTTGCATGCCTCTCTTGAATCCGCCCATACAACCACAGTTTCAACTGGCATGGCCACCAAAGAACCTGAGAGGTTGACAGCTGCGAGGAAGAAGACAAAAACCTCGAAGGTACACTTGTTCCTCTTGCCTGCATACACCACCAGCACACAGATGTTGAAGAGGGAGCCAACCACCGCCAGCAGCAGCATCACCAGAGCTACCACTTTGCATTCTGATTCACTGAAACAAACACACTAAAGTAAGTCAACAATAGACAACGGCGAGGCGCTACAGAAAGAGAACATACTTTTTGGGACGGAGAAAACTATTTGGAAAAAGATTTGTCAACATTCTGGTACAAATTGAGACAGTTCAGGTGCAAAAAAATTTCTTGAGGACATCATGGAATCAAGAAAACAACTGTTGCCTGTTTGATGATTGAAGCACCAGCTGATCGACCCCAAAACTTGTCTAAAGGCGCCAATATAAATTTATTTTGAGGTGGGAGCGCCCGCCAAAAAAGTCAATACCTTCCAAAAAGCGCATACAATCGCCTTTCTTTGGCCTGTTTTTTTTTAAGATTTATTAGCGGCGTAGAAAATTTGGTCAAAACAGGATCTTATAGTGATTTGGGAGAGCTCGGAAAATCAAATTGCTCGACCTAAAAATTCGGAAATTTTCGGAAAATCAGCCCCTTCCTCGAGAAAACGAGAAAGCCTTAGATCCGCCCCTGATCTAATGAAAAAAAAAAAAACTCAAAAATTATGACCGAGAAATTAAAAACCTTATAAATGTGGACTAAATTTTAAAAAGCTACAAATTCGAATTTGACAGACAATTTTTGAAGTTTCGAAGTTTCCTATTCCCAAAATGGCGCTTCTAAAACACTTTACTGGAAAAAAAACTCAGTTTTCACGGCTTAAATTAAGCATAAATTAGCTTTTCCTCATAATGTAAGTCTACTCGCTCGCTTTATTTGCTCCAATTTAGACTAAAAATTGAAAAATTCTGAACAACTTTTCTCGAAACTGTTGAAGTTATCACTCGACCCATTCCGTATGACTATTTTGTGATGAAAAAAAAAACGAACATCAGAATACAAATTTCTTCCCCATTTTTAATGGTCGGAACAATAAAAACCTTTCCTACCATTTCGATATACGTTATTGCATAAAAAGACGCCTCATCAAGCATGAAAGGAAAGCTACCATTAAATTACTAAGCCGAAAGAGCTTCAATCGAAAACCAGCAAGCTTAAAAGATGATCGGCAAAAAAACTATTTCAAATTTCGATCGTTAAATATATCTACTCTGGTGATCACAATATTTAACATTTCAGCGGGATCAAACTGAGCGTATATCAAACAACATTAACTAAGCCGACAAGAATTGAGCTGAAAACATTTATACGAAAAAAAAAATCAAATTTCATAAATAGCGAAAAACACCCCGACCGAGAATCGATCCCCAGACCTTCAGGGACTCAATAGGCTTTTTTTTCTATTATAACTGCGCAGCTGAGCGACGATTAGTGATATTTAACAATAAACAACACTCAGTTCCTAATAGATATGTCAGAAAGTTATTTAATGGAAAATCCTGGTTCCCGATAACAAGGTACAAGTAAAAAAAGAGGCGAAAAAGAGTTTAAGATTAGAAAAAACTTCAAGATGAGAAATCCTCAATTGAATACCTGCTGCTAAGCCTAAAACACACTAAATAGCATCATATTGGGCAGAGGCAAAATCGCTCTTAAGAAAAAATTTTTTCTCATTAAGGCCGCTACATAATATTTGACCCAATGCAATGAAAATTACCTAGCGGCAGCTAAGCAGACAATACTAAGGAACATAGTTTCGAACTAAAAAAAGTTTTGACGCCCCCCCATCCGAGTCACGAACGCATAAACAAAATTATTTCGCCCTCCAAACAATAAAAACTGACACAACTGAAACGACCTAAAATTACGATTCAAAACGAAGAAACCTTTTAAGTGAAATCACAGGAAAAAAATCAGGAAATTATGCAAAATCATTAGTGGTAAATTTGAGGTACGGCAAAATCTCCCCCTAGCAGCTAAAAAAAATATATATGCTTTAAAAACTAAGCGGATACGAAAGCAGACAAAACGATAGTCCCGGAGACAAAACTTTTTCATAATCCGACCGGATTCAAACCCAGAACATTTTTCGACCCAAGCGTGGGCATCCGCTCGCGGACTAAATCCCCCAGGATATAATCCCACCGGATATAATCCCCCAGGACTAAACCCCCCATAGGACCAAATCCCCCTAGGACAAAATCCCCCATATTTTATTCAGTATAATGGAAATCTAACTGTACACATTATATAATTTCATGTTTCTATTGATTCCATTTTGAACTGACTTCCATTTATACATGCATCGCCATTTTGACGTGACTTTTTAGCAACTTTAAGATTCCAACATTCAGTTGACTTCCTATAAGAATGAGCTTTGATTGCAAAAATTAATTAGCCACTTGGCACAGTCAGTACGGCAAGTGAATGGAAAACAATGTTGATTCCTTCAGCGTGAGTTCGAATCCCAAATATGACATTTTGTGCAATCAATGTAAAGGTCTGCTAAATTTACCCCTAGGGGTAAAAAAATCCCGCGCTTCCACTAAGGTGGGGGTGCGGGATGGTGTGAAAGGAAGTCCCCGATTCCTAGAAAACCATCTTCTTTATTGTGTCAAAAATTCTTTTCTGTTAATTATCTTTCATCTTTTAATTCAAGTTTTAGTGTCGCTGTTTTGTTGAATTCGAATGCGGGGGATTTTGTCCTGGGGGATTTAGTCCTAGACCCGTGGCTAAATGCACGAAAACATTCAATGGATTTGAAATTATCAGAAAGCAGTTCAGATCTCAAGTACCAATTCTAATATCCACAATTCGTCAATTCTTTCTTGGTAACAGAAAGAAAGCTAATAAAACATCGAAAAAAGCTGCAAAGCACGAACAAAATGATCAAATCTAAAATTTAACACGGCTAAGGCTCATCTAATTTTCAAATATAAAGCAAACTTGTTTTCAGCTATTATGACGCAGTGAACAAAAAACTCAAAAAACCGAGGTTCAAATTGAATAAACGAAAATGAAAAAGTATATTTCTTAATTTTGGAAATTTTTATTCATTAAGAACTTATTCAACTTTCATTTCTCAAGTTGGGCATCACAGAAACACTTTTTACATTTGATTTCAAATGAAACCAGGAAAATTCGATAATCTCATGCAATGCAGTTTTCTCCCCGACAAACAATGGAAAGGAACAATATCAACAAAAATTGGGACGCAAATTTAGGGCGAAAAAAAATTAAAAACTTTAACAAAATTTGGACCATAATTTTAACGCAGTCAATATTCGAAAACTCTGCAATACGATATTTTTGCTCGCTCAGAATTTTTTTTCCGAAAATGATAACGATACGCCAAGCTCTAATTAATGTGAATACAGTAGGCAAAACAGAAGGATCAAGCATAAACCTTGAAGTAACGCATAACTATAAAACGTTTAGAACGGTAGACATTGCAATAATTTGGAAAAAAAGGTAGTTTTTCTTCAAGAAAATTTAATTGAAACTGAAACGCAATTTTTAAAATCAACAAAAAAGACAAAAAAATGTTTTACACACGAATTTTTAATCGATTTTTTTTAATTGTGAAAACAAAACGTACTAGGTAAACATACAGCTGATAAAGCTACGGTTGAAAAAATTAAGGTACCTATCATATCTTTTTAAACGGAAGAGTAGAATGAAGCTCAATTGGATCAAGCTAAAATTTAGATATATACAGCAAAAAAAAGTTAAGTAATCATCGGACATTGTGATTCAGATTCAAAGCAATTAGCAGGTGCAAGAGCAAGCAAAAAATATAACTTCATAGCAGAGATAGATTCCATTGGCGACATTTAAGCTGAAATACGGTAGACATATAGGCCATTCTTAAACCGAGACATGTCAGCCTATTAAATCTGAAGACACTTCAAACCATATAAAATGCCGGGAACAATAAATTACGCGCAATTTAACACACATGCCAATTGTAAGCGCAGTGGAGCAAGCATTTACAACTTCCAGTTTTGTACTTACTCTTATTTTTCAATTACTGATCAAATCGAGTCGAGTACTGATCACTTGGCCGAATACTGATCAAGAACGTCATTTTTATTTACCGTGACTATATCTATCTACTTTTGAGATGAATGCTTTCTCAAATAAATTTGGGAGTTTTTGTCTCACTTACTTTCAGCTCAATATCTTTTTATAAATAGTTTGGCTTTTGTCTTAGTTCAAATTGTTGAACTGGCTGAAATATCTCATTTCAAATTTTCGCGCTTCTTCAAACAAAACGTTTGTTTTTATTCAATCTCTTCAAATGACACTAAACCAGTGTCGCCATTCTCCTGGGAAAAATACCTCTCGGACTCGAATTGGTGAACACATGATAATCAAAATTTTTTTTACTGTTACAAACAAAAACATGAGGTATTTTCAAAGAACAGGGGGGGGGGGGGTTTCTACAGTAGTGACTTGCACAGGAACTTTTGTCCTGTCCTGTAGTTTGCTTAAAATTGTCACACCCTTTTTATGTTGTTTTGAACACTTTTCGGAGTCTAAAAAGAAACTCAGAAAAGATATCGAGTTCTTTAAAAAAAAAGAGAGAGAACTCTTGAATTAAAATACCTCTGAAAATACCAAAATACCAGGGGATCTGAAATTAACTTTAAGGAAACAGTTCCTTACTGGGACCAGGGTAATGAAACTTACATAATACCAAATGAAACATTACAAAGAAAAAAGCATCAGTGATTGTTACAAAAGTGTTGAACAGTTTTATAGCTAATTAAGCCATGCTAATAAAAAAGTAGAAATTCTAACTAGCGAAGTGTGAACTTATAGGGTTTAATATCAAGACATGATAAGCTTGAATTGATTATCCGGTGTTGAACGAGGGTGTCAAGGCCTGGGAACTAGTTTACAATACAAGTAGATTTTTAGCAAAAGAGCTCTGAATAGCAATGTGTTATTTTTATCGATTAATTGATCAGAACTCCGACCAAAAATCGGAACTTGGGTTTTTTCAGTAATTCGTTGACCGAAAATTATCAATTTCTGAGCAATTGATCGACTTTTAAAAAATGCTTTACACAGTGATCAACAAAAAATCTGGAACAGTTGAGAAAATTGAGTTCAAAGTTTACCTGTAATACAGATGCGAGTAAGAGTTGTTTAGCGAGAAAAGGTCAAATTCGGCAGAACTAGAGTTCTGATGCCCCATGATAAACAAGAGGTTAAAGAAACGTCAATTGGAGAAGAAAAAGAAAAAACAATAAATTAAACGCCAAAAAGCAGTCATTTTGAGGGCAAAATTTTGACACATTAATGGCTATATCTCGAAAATGCCATATGCTATAAAAACCAACTGCTCGAACAGCAAAATATATTTCCAAGTAAAACAATTTTGAAACATGGAAAAATAAGATTTTATAGATAGTATAACTTGATACTAGTTAAGTTATACAGGCCAAATTAACAAATTTGTTCTAAAATTGGACATTTGCGACTACACTAGCTCAATGATAGTATATGTGTGCACTTTAAGGTGTCAAATGCTGAATGATCAGTGCTGTGACCAAGCGTTGGTAAGTATAAGTAAGGGTTAAAGTAGGTGCAAAAAGTGCGAAATGTCACAGCATCAATGGACCCAATGAGGCGGTGGCTGAGAGGGGAGCGTTGAAAATTAGCCCCAGGCGATAGCGATAGAAGTCTTTTAATCTAGTACCGAAAGGGAATTCCGCAACAAGGTAACTGCAGCCCCCGTCGGTTCTGGTTGTTCAAAAATAAGACATGTCGCTCGTTGTTTACAGAAATTCAATCAGGCCAATGCAGGCGAGCGCTGAAGGGAAAGAATGCTAAATAACGATGACAAGCGACATAAATCAGCTACATAAGAGCCCCTATTATTTTGTCTCGCGGGTATTTTCCTTACAACCAGGGCGCAAGACAATTCGCGGTTAAATTAACCCCATTCAAAGTTACTTCTTAATCTTACATCTGTATTGCTATCTGGGCACTACAAAAACACTTTTCTATTTTTCTAAAACTGTTAACTTTCTTAGAGACAATGAGCACTTTTCAGCTCAACCACAATTTAAATTTCGTGGAAAACAGTGAAATTTGATACTTATAGCACTAAACATTTCACTGCACTTTTCCAAACGACCCCTCTAATTCGTGATTTGAAAACAAAAAGGTCAATTCAAAGGGAACTCTTCATAATCAATGCTGAGAGCTCTTCCCTACTTATCAGCTAACTAGAGGCAAAATATTGATTAATGCTGCCATTGATGCAAAAATCGCTTTTTAGTTGGGCCACAGAGGTATAATAAGATCAGCATTTGATGACTTAGTTTGTTCAATAAGGGCCTCAATTCCACCCTTGAGCCTCATCATTTTTGAACAAGATATTGGAATCAACTATTCGGCTTCTGAAACTAAACAACACGAAAGGCTGAAAAAATCAGTAAGATCTTTTTTGTTGATAAAAATACCGAAGTGGGGTATACTGGAACAAAAGTATAACCCGTGGTTAATTAAAATAAGGGTGACAGTCTGATTTTTGACAAAGAAAAGCAGCCAAGCAGGGATATTTAGTTACAACTGCAGATTAAATTTTTGATTTCCCAGAGGAGTAACTGGAACCTCGTGGCTAATTTGCTTTTTACCAACTTCAGTGGCTAAGTGCCATTTTTATAATTGAATTAGTAAAAATGGATACTAACAAGAAATGGGAGGGGTTTCGAGATTAGTTGGAGCGGACAAACAAACCAACAAATTGTGAACAAATTCAGAAATTATTGGGTGGAAAAAATGATAAAAACTAGATAAAAAAGCACGCCACCGGTCTGTTATCATTAAATCACCATAAATTACATAAACTGAGACGAAGTAATCTTCGAAAGGTTTTCAGAAATAAATCAAGTACAAATCTGGCAAATTTAGAAAAATCGAAGCAAAAAAATGACCAACTAATGATTTGGAAAACGAGTCGAACAAAAATAAACTCAGAAAAAAAACGAGCATCAGTCTGCTATGGATCCCCTGAATTACTGATCATTTATTGAACGCTATGATGACCACCACAGAAGCCTTGCCGAGTTTCAATTGGACAGAATTTTAAGGAAGTGCTCAAAAGCAATTGCAACTATTTCCTAAATGCAAAAACGGACTGCAAAAATTAATGAGACTCGACTACCAGTACAAACGGCTTTTGGAAAGACTTAAAACAACCGAATCCAATGAATCGAAATAAAAAGCGACAGGGAAAACATGGCAACAAAACAGCCAAAATTGGATGTTGGTAGATCAAACTATCAAATAAAGGTGCTTGAGGTTTACTAACCTAAAGTATGCAAAAGCCATTTGGTTTGGAGCTCCCAGACCTTTCAATAACCTGAACAATTATTCATCTTAACATAAACCAATTGGACTTAAGGGAACAAACATTTGATGATAAAGGAGTCATGTACTCGCATTTGTAGTAAATACTCCAAAAAAATGGAGAATAATCGTATCGGGGCAAATCCCTGAATCCTCTGAATGTCCTTTAACGTCTATCAAACAGTTTCCAGTTGACCAAAACTGATTAAAATTTGAGGAAAAAAGTCACTGTTCAACGCCACGCCCTATTCGTACGGTGATATTTTTGCGTCTAGTAGACTCAGAAAAGAACAAACATTTTGCCTCGATTTCAGAGCCCGATTAATATGCCACTTAGGGGTTGATAAACTAAATATAGATTCATGGCTAACCCTCATATTGATCCAGGCTTGCCAACTTTTGAAAATTGAAATATGAACCACTGTGCTCAAATATGAACTTTTGTACGAACCTCACATGAACTTATATTACATGAACCAGTTGACAAGGCTGATTATGAAAAAAAAATTGCGCCGCAGTTAAACTTTCGGGAAAACAGGGAAAATTTTGACCGCCTTTAGAAAAATTTTAGGGTTGGTCGGCCAAAAACGGATGTCATAAAATAATATCAAAGGAGGGACCCTTTGGTTGGCGAGGGGGTCGAATCCCTGAGACAAAAATATGAACCACTCTAAAAAAATGAACATAATATCAACCAGTTTATATTATATGAACCAGCTGGCAAGGCTTTATTTATTAGACGAATTAAAATTTTGAGCTCAGAGCAATATATTTCGTGGCATCACTGTTAAAAAAATAGTGCATGTAGCAAAGAAAATTCCGGTCAAAATAACAAACACAGAGGCGAAGCATAGCTTGGCATCACTTGCGATACAGTGCAAGCGCAGCATTGCAAGCTAGCGAATAGAAAATGAGACGAAAATCACAAAATCGAAAAAAATGGTAATAATGCATATAAATTCAGAAAAACAGAAAAAACAACCACCAGTATTAAATAAGCTTTTAGTGTTTACCGAGTATTAGCCGACAAAAAGTGGGTAGACGCCCATTAAGCCGATAAAAAATTCGTAAGAAACTGTTGTCATAAAAAAAAATTGAGCAATAAGTTTTAAATCTTTTAAGTTTTGCAACACAAAACCGAATTTTTCAAAAAAAAGTCCATCACATTTTGCCTCTAAAGCGACACGAAACTAGGTAAATTAACAGATAAAACAAAAGCCGGAACAAATTTGGGAGAAGACAAAATTTAATTGAAAATAAAAACAAAAAGGAAAACCTAAGAAAATACCCGTTAGGGCTATCTATTTTACAAGTTTCAGGAGTAAATCAAAAATACTTGCATATAAAATGAAAATTGCTGACAACATACAAAAATTCCCCGAGTTAGCAAATAAGCTGAAAAAACATAGGCAGACAAATGAAAGTCCGACCATTCAATTTTTCCCGAAAACATTGTAATTCTATTCAAACTGGAAAAAAGTTGAACAGGGGCTCGAAGCACCAGCAAAAGGGTACAAAGGCAACCTCATTACCTCAAGTCCAAGTGGGAACGAAACTGAAAGTTGTTGAGGTGCAACAATAAAGCAAATGAGAAACGCGACTAAGATGTAAGAAACGTTGCTCACAGGAAAAGACTAGTTCCCGATTACAAGAAACGCTATCGCAAGTGTAAAAAACTCGAAAAAACAAAATTTCTCCAAATTAACTTTCTCCATTTTTTTCGTCGTGTGATCTGAGGAGGTGAACGAAAGCAAAAAATCCAGGCATATTCAAAAGTAATAGTATATTAGTTATAGCTGACAAGTTTTTCTCAAAAAAGGAAAAGAAAACAAAAAATATCAAAAAAAATCCGTTTGAATTTTTTCAACTTTTTTTTTCTGAAGGCGGCGCTACAAGAATTTTGGGAAACTAAATTTACTGAAACTAATTTTTCACAATCAATAGTAATAATTTCTTAAGTATAATTGATAACAATTTTTCTGAGAATTTAGCTGAATTGTTTCTGACTTTGTTTTTTTCCGAAGAAGGTGCTAAAAACCCTGAAACTAGCTTTACTAAAGTTAACTATAGCTTCACGGCATAACCTGATTAATAAGCTATTATAAAACCTACTCGGTTTTCTCGACAAGACTTTTCGAAAATAAAAAATTTTAAAAAACATCAATTGATTCCTTAAAATTCATAGATTAAAAATGGGTGCGCATTCATAGGTTCCAAAATGAAAAATCAGTCCCATAGGTTCCAAAATGAAATAGCAGTCGCATAACTCCCAAATTTTTTCAATTGGTCAAAAGACTAAATTAGCCGATTCTCGGTTTAAGGTCGTTGGTCGATTTGTCTTGATTTTTTTTTGGCTGAAATATCTGTTTCAAATTGGTTGAAATGGCGCACAGACAGTTCGGCCAAAGACAATTCAGCCAGAATTATACAGATAATTCGGCCAAAGACAATTCAGCCAACTTTACAAAACGCTAGATTCGAAAGAAAAAAATGGAATTGGAGTTATTTCTCGGTTTAAGGTCGCCGCTGGTCGCGCTACGCGCGCGTCGCCGCTTCGCGGCGATAACCGGCTCTAAATTTCGTATAGAGTCCTAGCCTTTGGTGGCAAGCTCACAACACGTTGGCGCGGCTGCGGCGGTCAGTTTGAGTTTATGCTGCTTCAACAGTATACAATCAATCCAGAAATCCATTGGCTCAAATTTCAAGCAATCAGAATTCAATAAGATAAATTTTGGAACTTAAGCGACTGATTTTTTTTATTTTGGGAGCTATGAATATTGGAACCTATGGTAATTAACCTGAAAAAGAAGTGTACACATAGAAAAGTATACATAGATTAAACTTGAAGTGTAACCATAGATTACAAATGAAGCGTAAAAAAATAATTTCTTTCGAATCACGACTGAGCTTTGATTTGAGATATCATTCGACTCTTTCCGATGATTATTTGTGGTACCTGATTATGCATGGAAAACAAATAAAGAAAACACCCGAATACAAACTTTCTGCCTATTTTCAAAAGTCTTAACACCAACCAAAATTGGATCCCGTACAGCGCTGCTTTAAAGCAATCGAGCAAAACAAACAAAATAGTTAGGTCGAACGCGCTTTTGTTCTGTCCATTTGAAAAATGGGGAGGCACTTGATATTTGGGAGTTCTAGTTTTATCTTTGTTGATTATTTTCAGCGCAAAATCAGGTACCACAAATAATTATCTCATGGGTCTAGAGATATATCATATAAGAACCCTTCCAGTAGTGATTCGACTGACATTGAAACAATTCGAAAAAGTTTTCTGTGTCGAGAATAATGCTTTTAAAATTTTGCTTCCTGGTCTAAATCGACTTGATTTATTTACGAAATTTTGCCGATGTATTTATATAGCGCTGATACGGCCCTATCCAACCTTTGCACATACCGTCGCATGACGGAAGGTCCCATTTTTATTGACTTTTTTTCATGGTCCAAACTCGAGCGAATAAAGCGAGCGAGCAGGCTTAGGTTTTTTAACTCGACCCGCTTAAAATAGCTTATTCCTGCAAAAATTAGTTTCCCTCAAATAAAGTTAGTTTTAAGGAGTTTTTTAACGCAATTTAATGAATCAAAAAATTTCAACACAGCTTCAAATGCTTTTAACCGTCTCTACCAAAGCCAGTTCTATGTGGGGTCCATTAACTTCGAGTCGACAAAGTCATTAACTTGGTAACATTCGAAAACAGTGAGCTCATGGATGGGTCTCAGTTTCCCCAGACCATGAGGTCAATCCTAAAAACAGTGCTACTACTTAATTATTATACTACTATTGCTTTTGTTCAGTAGATAAAAATCATCAAATGCATCGGAGAAGGACCAACCCTTGGAACGCTTTTCCGCCGATATCTTCGACTGTAAGTTTCTATCGCTTATTCCAGCGTTCTGTCTGTTTTCTCTCAGCGAAAATCAATGTTCTGATTTACGCGGTTTTTCTGTTTTCGCGAAAATTAAAAAACTCAAGAGTCTTCTTTTTAACAAATTTTCAAAAATTAGCATTTCAGTTCGAAGTGACCATTCCCAATTTGTTCATTTTGACTAAAAAGACCGTTAATCATCGAAACTGCTCTTTCGTACAGTTGAACTACTTCCAATAAAATTTGTTTTGACGAACCATTTTTTGACGGCATTTTGGTCAAATGGCACACACTCCAGTCAGCCCCGATCAATTGCTCCACTAAACTGCGAGTAATTTTAAACTTTAAATATACTGGAATACTTCATATATACTCTCCACTGAAGCGTTTCTTAATAATTAGTAAGTGTCTCTGAAAACAATAAAATCACAATTTAAATTTCTAAAAGCAGCAATTTTAAACCTAAAACAACTTAAAGTCCATTAGGTTTCA